AACATTTATTGAAGTATAATCCTCACTTGCTTCCTGCCCAATATCCCACATCCCCGCAGGGCTAGAAATGGGAGCTTTTATGTATTAAGGGCTATACAAGGTGACTCCGAGAGACTTGTATTTATTCAATTTTGGGGAGAAACCTATCTTGGTTACTTTTTTCTTTTCTTAAAAGTTTTAGGAAATGCAATTTCAAGGGAAAATGCAAGAAAAGGCTGTTGATTGCAAAATAGCATTGATTTTGAGTAGGCTATAAGGATATGAACAGGACAAACAGCTAGCATCTCTGTACTTTCTCTATTGCAGCTCTGAAAAAGAACTAATTTTGGTGACTCTGCCTCTGATGAATGACAAATGGTACTAACAGCAGCCACGTGGCCCCAAACACCAGCATTTTAACGGCAGTAGCTAAGCTCTGACATTACCAATCATGAAGACAACATTCACACTCGTGAGGCTGGCGCTTCTTCAGCTAGCAAAAACTTCCTGAAACACTTAAAATATATTTTAAAATAAAGGAGTAGTTGTTTTCAACAAAAAAAAATCCTTGATGCAAATAATGTAGATCCTCCAAGGCTTTAAAATGGGAGAGTAACAACACCTCCGCACCTTTCCCACAACCTCAGCACAGCACCAACCACCGGAGAAGCTTGGGCTGGGCACATTCGGATGTGCTGTCCCTTCCTCTGCCCTTATCTTTAGTGCATACATTAATGTGGAGAACTGGCCTGGGAAAGTTATGGAAAGCTATTTTCCTAACTGAGCAGTCAGATCTTAGTAAGTCTCATGCTGGGATATGTTGCTATCCATTTCACATTTTCTCCAAGCCCTCTACGCCTCTCATAATCTATATGCCAGCACCAGGGGCAACTATCACCATGGGCATCACTAGCAGATCCCAGAAGGAGCTTGCCTTAATCATGGTTTTACACAGTCCTGTCGTCTTCAGCTACACTCCCGTTCTTCTTCCCTGCTTCTGGAAAGCAAAACTTCAGCTAACTTCTGTCCTTGCTCACATCCCATGTGAGCGATCGCAAGGCTCAGCACTGCCCTCCTGCAGGCTTTGCTTCAGTGGCTTCTCAAAATATGATGGCTGGAAATCATCATGGGTTGTGGTTGGTTTTGTGTTTTTTCCAGACTTTTGGTAGCAAAATCCTCCCCGTTTCCCTGCCAGGGAAATCGCTTCCCACTTCTTGGCACATCTTTGCTCACCCTGGGGCTCATGTGGTTTCAAAAGTAAACTAATAAAGGCAGGAATAAGAAGTGAGTCTGCTTGAAAAACTTAGCGGGTGGTTTGGCGTTGCTGCGTTCAAAATGCTCTTGCATTTTGCAGGCCATAGGTGCTGCTGAACTACTTTCAAGGCAGAAGTCAGGCAGCACACTCCATCAGCATTCACACAAACCCAGGCTTACTGCCGCCTCCATCACCCACCCGCTGCCTCAGGCTGGCCAGGTATATTTTTGTCTCATTTAATTTTGGGCATTTGAAGGGGGGGGTTCTCTTAGACCATGCATATTATGCCTAGGTGAGGCAAGGTTTGCAGAGGGACTTAATGTTTTTTTAAAATTTTAGCTGTTAGCTATCCATTCTAGCTGGAAGAATGCTGAAATCCTTCAGGCACAACTCCCCCTTCACAATGTTGGGGAACCTGTTCCTGGCTGGACCTACAAAGTGTGACATTTCAGCAAGGGGAGTTCACTGCTTTTTGAGAAATTATGAAAGGTGCAGTCAAAATGCAAGTTACCCAAGTCTTCCTCCCCTAACCAACTCTCCCATCAGCCAGAGTTCAAGGACAGCAGTCCACAGCAACTTGTACCTACTTTTTGTGACAACGCCTTCAAGGTGGATGATGTTGGGGTGGTCGAACTGCCCCATGATGCTTGCTTCTCCCAAGAAATCTCTCCTCTGTTTCTCTGTGTAGCCCACCTTCAGGGTTTTGATAGCCACTGGAAACTCACGCTTTCCCTGCAGCTTCAGCCGCCCACTGCAGACTTCCCCAAATTCACCTTCAGAAAAAAATCAGAAGGAACGGGATCACAAAATGTCAAAGGAACAGACGTCTGCAGCATGCAGCACAGCCCCTACCGATAGCTCATCAACAGCACGCAGGGCTGTCCCGCATTCATGGATGTGGAAAGCTGAACATCACAGTGATCACCATCTCAAATAGCCAATGTACCACAAGCCAAGTAATTCATAAGCACAAGAAAACTAGGAAGAAAAATGTAATTTTCCTATATTTCAAGAGCTGTGCTCTACATTCGATTGGGCTTTTTCCTCATTTCATGTTTTTGTCTACTAGATGAAAGAGTCCTGTCACATCCTGTATCATCTCCCTGTATAGACAGCTGTAAAACATGAGCCACTTGCTTCTTAACCTGCCTTTGGTAAGTTAAATAGATGGAATGATGTTAGCCTTTCACAGCAACATATATTTTTATAGACTATAAACCCTTTCTGATTTTATTGCCACCTTTTTGAAAAGGTAACCCAAATGGATTTTTTTTCTTTCTTTCTGTTGAACAGTAAATTACCTCCAAAAACACAATATCAGAGCACAGAAAGTATTCCTAAGGTTGGGTGCAAGTCCCAACAAACAGCTAACTGGAAAGAAATGGGAGGTTTTTCTTTTAACCAAAGCTTTGGACTTTGGTTTGTGCTTTTTTCCCTCTCCCAGATGACTTCTTATTAATTTTTGCTTCAACACTGACCTTAATGGAGGAGAAGAAAAAAGTTAAAATGGTGAAAAGAACCTAAAATTGACTAATTTCCCTCAGCGTCCATCAAAGTAACTCAGCTTGGTCCAAATGTGATCATCTTTTGCCATTTTCAGTTCAGTTCTTGAATTTAAAAATTTCAGTTGGAACATGCTCCCCATCACTTGCACGGTACCTAACAGCACAAATATTTCACGGCCCTTCCCAGATCTCTTGTATTAAGAAAGCCAACCCTCCACGCTACTACGGGTCATGAAATGCATTTCCATACCAGCCCCGATAACTCTTTCAATGGTTATGCACGAAGCTTCAATTTCCTTAGCAAACTCGTGGACGGCTTGATTAGGGTCCTCATAGGTGTGGGGGTCAATGTAGGTCCTTACTCCAGGCAGCTTAACTGGAAACACAAATTCAGATCGTTAACGGCACATGGTATGACAGACGATGGGCAATACACACTCCTGTCCCTTGCACTCTGCTTTGCTGGAAAACATTGCAGCAGGGAAACCTATTTCTACAGGAAACATGAACAGTATTCTGGGAAATTTACGTTTAGTTTATATGTGACACACATGCAACTTCATCGTATTTAGAAAAGCACACGATAGTGCTCAGCTGGAATGATGCACAGCTAAAAATCACTCTCGGTGCTGCGTAACAGGCTGGTCCGAGGTCTGGTGCAAAAGGATCCCTCTCTGGATCTGGAAAGGGTATGCCAGGAGGAAAAGTACAAAAAGTAAAACGTTAAGGGAACAACTTGCCAAGCAAGTTGGATAGATGGGGGTTGATGGAGAGTTGCAATAAATTATGCCCTACCAGTCACATATTAGCTAATCAATCGGCCACATTATTTCAGATGGAGTTACTGAGATTTAAATGAACTGAATATTTGCAGTACAAAGCCTGTGTGTTGCACCAGTATAAATATAATCAATAGCAGGCTTTTTCTCCAGGACTTGAGAGAGGGAAAAAGTATTTTCATTATCCATATTATAAGTTTGTTTTGACAATCATTAAGGCTACTCCCATGAAGAACTGCTCATCAGTCTAATAAGACAGCTACATTACACTGTGGCTCTTAATTGATTTGCTTCCTGCTGCCTTCATTACATAGCACTAATGGAAATTTGACTTTCACTCAAGATGCGTTTGCCTTTTCCACCCCAAAAGGCACCTCACTGTTACCCATCCCCAGATCCCACAGCACTTGATGAAGGAAGGCTTTTCAAACACTGGCTTTGGATGTACAGAAGGACTGATAGTAACCACAAGATGTACTTTCTAGCATCACCACAGAGGGTTTTTTTGTGTATAAGGGCATTAACACAGCATTTCTGAAAGCGTCCAAGGAGCAAGAAGTAGGTGTTATTCCTCACGCCTCTGCAGAGGCATCCAAGGCAAACAGTAGCTGCAGGCTTGGTCCTCACGGCTGGCTAGGGCGGAGCAAGGGTTTCAAACAGGTATTCTGGACTGACGTGTCCAGACCACAATAATGTAGGGTTGTTATGTGCCAACCAGGCAAAATCAGTAGCATCTTGGGCCACAGAGCAAAGACAGATGAACAGAACAAAATGGCTTGCTAGAGAGATCTGCTGCAAACATACAGGTGTGAATAGCTGGGCACATATAAGGACTCTTCAAACATTCAGTTCTCCATGGGGCAGGTGGGGACTTAATGAATAACAGAACAAATAAGTCTTTTGTGAATTACCAGCAAAACCAGATTTAAAACAAAACAAAACCCTGAACAAACCCCTCTCGGTTGTATTTCTCATTACCACAGAGAGCCAAAACACATGCATACATGTTCGATCTTTACTCACTGTGGCCATTATGAAAATGCATCTTTTCTTCTTCTGGATCTTGCTTAGCCTTGCTATAGCCACATCGCCTGGAAAAAAAACAGAAGAGTGTTTTTGTCTCTGGTATAGTAGAATCCCGCTCTTTACTTCAAATCACATGAAGCACAAAAACCCAGAGCAGCGACGAATCCAACCTCTCTAGCGGTTGTATTGCTGCTGTCCCAGTTTTAGCTCATCAAACTACTCGCAATTTCCCTAACGGGATTCAGGGCCCAAGGCCCACTGATTTTCAATTGGACTTGTGTTTCCAAATCCCACAGATGCTTCTGAACAACTCCACTCTACCATACATCTAATTCAGCTATTATTAAGACGAAAAAAAAGCAAGAACAGGAAGGGCGATGGAAGGGGAATGGGATGAAACATTTGAATAGCAGAAGCAAGATCCCCTGCACTGCAGAGCTTTTGCAGGCACCATGTTGTATGTAATGCATGCTCCCCTTCATCCACTGGGCATTTGCACGCAACTTTGATACTTTAGAAAACAGCCTTGTGTAAACATTAACACCTTATACACATGCAAAATAATGGCTTAAAAAACCCAAACCCTGTAGTCTCACTGCCTTCAAGGGTCTCCTATGTATTCCTGGCTCTGATAGGGTTTCCTGCACATCTCCTGTCTTTACGCAGGGGAGCTACCATTCACGCAATCCCCTCTGCCCGGTGGCAATACAGATGGAAGAAGGCACGCAGTCATTGCCTGACCTGTCTTGCTCCCACGTTAGCACCAGGCAGTGCAACGATGCTGCCAAATCCTACCATGGAGTTGCAACCACAGCTGTATGGGAGTCACATCTACCCCAGGGCAACCTCCTATTAATCTTTGGCTGCTTTTCCCTGACTCATCCCTAACTCTTCTCGCTGGTTCTCTAGACAATGTTACTGCATTAGCATTCACTGGCTGCTTTGGTGACATTTCTGATACCTGCTTCACTTAGACAACCACATAGGAAGCCACAGAGCAACTGCGTAGGCAAGGAGAACTGCTATATACACACGTATATATACATTTAAAAATACAGGATGAAGTATGTATGATGCACGTATATATGCCAGTCTTTCCAAGGACCTTATATTATAACTGGGTACAGGAACTGGATCATCCTTAAAGCAAACCACATGGACATGAGACAGGAGGACACTGCTTGGTAGAGTGAAAAACCTGCAACAGACACTTGCAAGCGCACAGTGGGATCGCTAGCTGGCACACCTCAAAGAAAGCCTCAGGCTACCAAGAAACCATTTAAAGATGAAAAACTTGGGAGTCTTCTCTTCCATTGCCCATGATTTTTGAGATAGAGAGATACAAGCACTCCAGTATCACTCACAGCAAGGAGGAGCATACGATTAGCAGAAACAAAACTGCAATTAGGAGGAGGCAGTAATAGGCATCTGCATGAAACATGCCCTCAGCATGAAGTCCTATTACAGGGAACTGCTGTCTGCCTGGATGCAAGGGGCCAAGCAGCCTTTTGGCTATAGGATTTTGGCACCAGATTTGTGAAATGATCACATTTACAAACAAAAACCCAAACACAATGGGACACGTACCGCCGCTGAGCTGGCCCCAACAGAGCTGGACACCGGAGGGTTGAGGAGGGGAGAAGCAACATGAGCTCCCGGGGTTAGTCCAGGGAAGGGGAGCAGGCACACAAGCTTACCTTGGGGAGAAGGGGAGACCTGTGCCAAGGGGAGAGGAGGAAAAAACAGACTGCAAAGGTTGTGCAAGTGCAGGGGGATGGATCAAGACACGGTGCAGAAGACAAGAGGGGAGGCTGACAGGCAGTCCGGGACACAGGCAAGGAGATAAACAGGTCACACTTGATAAACAGCCAGGCTATCCATGCAGGGCACAATTTCAGCAGCAGCAACCAAGGGAGGAAGCTGACAGGCGGTCCAGGGGCACAGGCAGGGAGATAAACAGGTTGCACTTGATAAACAGCCAGGTTATCCACACAGGGCGCGATTTCAGCAGCAGCGACCAAGCTGAGACCATCATGCTCCAAATGCAAAACCCACAATTGTGGCAATGAGGTGCCTGGAGACATGGCTCAGTTATCTGCACGTCAGCACTCGTCGCTATGTTCTAGCGGCAGCAGTGCCATTTCCTGAGATGGAGTCCTGTCTAATTAACTCAAAAACTAAGCACTAGGTGTACACAGAAACCCTGGGAGTAAGGGTAATTTCAAAGCACGTTTTGGTGTTCACAGTCCCTGGGTGAAAATGGATTCTCCTCCTTCTTCATTATATTTTTTGGGCATTTGAAGATATAAACTAGAGATATGAGCATCACTATCAGTTCCCACTTCTGGCAACCCTAATCTTTTGTGCTGCAAGTTGCCAAAAGTTACATCAGTTTTCCACAGAAGTAGTTTTCTGAATTGAGGCGTATAACTCAATTTTCCTCTTAAAAATACACAAATGTTTCAATTCATCCTTCTACCAAAAGCACACATACAAGATTTCTTTTGTTCGCCTTTTAGAGCAAATGCCCTCATCTCTTCCTCAGGCTTGGAGTACTTCACCTATGAATAAGCTTTTCTAACATTATCCTTTTTACTACCCGCATCTCCCGATTCTTCCACCATAAAGAGGGAGGAGAAAGAAATGGGGAACATGCCATCGCCTGCGTCCAGTGATCCAAGCACACCTTGACGCACAATGGTCTATGTTTTTCTGCCCAGGGACATGTTCAAAGGGCCAATGCAAACCAGTTGGCTCCGGCTGTCCCCCGCTCTCAAGCTGGGTAATGCATACAGCAGCATGTCCCATTAGCATATGAAATCAGGCTCTGGGACCCCCAAAGCATCGTTAAAACAAGCCTTGACAAGACACGCCAAAGTGAAATGGCGGCTAGTGGACTGCGAATTGTCAAGCAACAGTTGGGTGTCACTAACAAAGCTCACTGCAAAACCTGCCTGCTGCAATCACTTGTGCCCTTCGCACACTCGCTTTCTTAAACTACCCAGAGAAACAAGCCATGTACATGCTGACCAGGGCTAAACTGCATTTCTTCCCTTCTGGACCTTCATTCACATGCTTTAAATAATACACACAAGCAGTGTTTTCTCCTTTCTTCCCCAACTAAATCCCATAAAAATCTGCTATTTCAGGTTAACAGTCCCGATTCACTATGTGAATCTTACTGGCAGATAAAAGTATCTAAATATTGTGGTTTGCAATATATTTTGGGGGAAGAAAAAGCTCCTACTTGCTTGCGAAATAATCCATTTCTCCATGTGCATTTGCTCTTAATATTTATTGGAAAAGCCGCAAGTTAAAAGCCTCTGGGTGGAAGACTAACTCTAGTTTATCACCATTGTACAAACTATAGATTTCCTATATCTTTTCTATATCACGTACAGCAAAAGCATAAAGATCCTGACGCTGTCTTCATCTCCCACTGAGCTGGAGACACTCAGCCAAAGAGTTAACATAATTCAGCAGCACACCTGAATCTCAACTCATTTACTCCTGTTATGGATTCGTCCCAGTTTCTGTATCTAGAAAGCAGATGTCTTCCTTGCACAGCTCTGTGTTTTTCAATAAAAGTATCAGAGGAAAAAAAAGTGGCACTTTAAATATTCTTAAGGCATCATGTCTTATTTAAAAACTACTTGCAGATTGGCAGGCAGCTCGTAAAATATTTATGGGGCAGATTATAAAAGTGAAGTTGTAAAATGATCCCTATATAGGTTTATAAAATATACAACGGACAGGTAGAAAGATGAAGAATCCAGCTGGGAAACCAGTGCCCACTGCCTCAAATGGCAGAAGCCAATTCACACAGAAAAAATCCTTCAAGACACAAGGCAGGAAGATGCTTGCTCTCCCTGGACTGATGGGGATACTTTGCATCTGACCCTGTGCTTTGGGGTGCCCTTGCTGGGTTGTGTTTGGCCCCTTGGCCACCTAAGGCATCCCCAAAACCACAGAATGCCCAAAGGAAGGAGTTTCCATCTCCCTAGCTGGGGTCACCACCCAGGCAGGACAGAGTCAGGGGACTGTGGCACTGGACATCAGACATCCAAGCCCTAGGCAGTGATGTGGGAGAGTCTTTATATACTTTTTTTATAGGCATAGGCCAAAGCATTTCATCACGCAGCCAAGGCGCTACCGGAAATGCACACGGGGACAGCATTTAGACATCGCCAATGAGGAAAGGGACCTCACTTTGCTAGGCAGTCAGTACCATCGAACAGCTTGTGCCCTGAAGCAGCATGCAATCTCCCATCCCAGTCCTGCGGAGATTTATACATGTGTTTAATCTCTTAAATATGAGATAAATGAGCTTTGTGTGCTTCTCTGAAACTGAGACAAAACACCACTCGCTTTTCAGGGGTGAGACCTTCACTCAGAAGCACATCTTTTACAATAAATCAACTTTGGAGAATGCATCCAACCCATCTTGAGCTGTCATTTTACAGGAGGGTTGCGAGGACTGCGAGGTTGTTGTTTACAAGGGGTTAGTGCTCATTTCAGACTATTTATTCCAAGATGTTAAAGCAATAAGGCTGCATACGTGTTGCAGGGCAGGACTGTGTTCCACCCAAGGAACAAACAAACATGGATCCGTCCATCTGGCCAAGATCCTGTCGCCTCAGCTCATGTGTGGAGACAATAACTTGTTCAGCAAAGTTTTATCCTGGATAAACAACACTGATACTGAGAGCCAGAAGCAAAAGTGTACCTCTAGCGATGTTGGTCCAGTTCAGCATTTGCTTTTGCTGCTTGCAATCCTAGAATATATTCAGTGTCACTAAACCAGGAAATACTCAAGGGACTAGTGTAAAACAAACAGCTTTTACACTGGAAGTTGTTTCCCATTTTTCTGTTCACTTTCCTCCTGCTTTTTTGATGTCCATAATGAGTTACTTCCATTGCACTGGATCAAACTTTCGCCTGGAGTAACTTGGAGCAACCCATGCAGGCTGGAAATCTGACTCATTCAACTCCTCTACGTACTCTCAAAGTCCTATAATTTGGAGAATGGGATCAAAAGAGCAGTAAAAGGTCTTGAGATGACAAGCTAAGACCTTCAGCTCAGTTCAAAGATACACCAGATGACTGACCTGAGAGGAACCAGGGCAGGTTCCCTTCCTAAGGGCTGCAGGCTCACCATCTTCTCAGCTGCTTTCCCAGCCACTGCTGTCTCCCTCTACATGGTATGACCCTGCCTTCGACCTCCGATTAACTTGGATGCCTTACAAAGGAAGTTTCACAATTGCAGCAGTGGTATTTTTAGATCTTAGTCTTTCCCTGCTTTTGCACTGAATGATTCCCTGCTTCCCTAAACCACCGCCAGAACAATTAAAAATAATTTAAACAAGACACCATTTCCCCCTCTCACAGGAAGCTCCCTCTGAAGTGATCTCCATAAATCTCTCTAAAGAGGTTGTCGTGCCTTCCCATAGGCAGCTGACAGTATCCGCGCCTTGAAGTCACTTTTCCTATTTCCCCCTCCCAGCTTGCTGCCACGTTAGTCTCTCCACAGCTTAGGAGGAACTTGCAGAGGGTGTTTTCCAGGTCATCCAAGCTTTCCCTATGCACGTCTCTTCTTTGTAGCCATCCAGTCCATTCCCGGTCTCCTCTGAGAAGCATTTTCCAATGCTGCCACTCTCTGGTTGGGGGCCTTGATGAGGACATTTGAAGCCTGACTCCCAGTGAGGGACTGCTGGTGCACTGGTGGCACAGGCACGACAGACAACCGAAGTACCAGGAGGCTTTCTTTTCACACAATCATTGCCAAACTGGTGGCTTGCAGGAATGACCGCACGTACTAGAAGAAGATTTTGCAGCCAAACACTTTGAGCTGAGCAGCCTTTCTTGCTAACGCTGCTCTTAAGCACTCAAAAGCCACAAAAAACAATTTAAAAAAGCTCTGAGAGGAAAAGAAAAAGCCTTTTGCTTCAGGGCCATCCCCCAGAAAACACAGTAGAAGAGTTTCACACTTCTCACCCAGCTATGCTGCAAAACCTTCCCAGTCTAACAATGCACATGGGACATCTCAGCGCTCCTCTGGTCTCAAGCAGCTATCTGATGGAGATGGGGATTTCATGAGTCTCCCAGGAGGCTTAGGAAGATCTCTACCTGCACAGATTACAGCTGATTCAGAGACCTAAAACACATTCCCTTTGGGGAGCAACTCAACTCGTGTCCAGTCAAACCAACAGAAATTAAAATCACCTTTCCTTTGATCAGTTACAAAAGAGGGGACAGTATAAGAGAGCAGAAACTGGTGAGGCAGCCCAGATGGTGGCAGAAAGGGGCAGCATGCAGCACGGACACGCAGCTCTCGACGCCTGCAGAGATATGTCCAATGCTGTTGGAGCATATCACTGGCAAATAGCATCATGTCATTGCCCTGTATGTCATACATCGACATGTATGTCGATGACATACAGTTCATTCCACTGACATGCACGTTACATGCCACTAAATACCCTTCCACTCCCGCCTGCCCCCTGCATCCTTTCTGGGGGTAAATTACCTCCCCTGGTCCCTTTTGGTGACAAGAAGCAAAATTTGATGAAGTGTCCAGCATATGTGATTGTGACACATGACATTGCTGGTGCAGTGTCTGGATCGATGACAGCATAACATATCAGCTTTTTTTTCCTCCCCTGGGACCCCTGCTCTTGCTGGAGACACACTCTGCTTCAGGTCACACGGTTTCCAGTTGTTGAGATAGACAAGCTGGGTGCAGAGATCAGATGAGAAAGCAATTTCCAGGCCAATGCAAGAAAGAGAGGGAGAGGCAGACTGTGCACAGAAAACATGGAGGGAGGACACGAAATAGGAGCCAGCACAGGTGGGAACACTGACCATGTTAGGCTCGGATAGGCAACAGCACGCAGAGAAGAAGCCCACCCACAGCCATGATCGCAGCAACTGAAAAGCAAACAAAAAGGCCCAGGATAAGGAATAATCCCACCGCCCTGGCAAGGTGCAAATACATTCGCAACATTTTTATATGCACTTCTTCCTTCTTATTGCAATTATTAGTTGGACCTTAACACCCTGCGCTGCAAGAATTTCATGGCATGTGCTACCGTTTGGGAAACGTGCCTTGGGGAAAGTGTATAGATCCTGGTCCTGCAAAGCAATTAACCATGTGCTTCCTGTACTTGAGTACCACTGTTAGGATTAATGGGCCACCCATGTGCTTAAACTTAAGCACCTGCCTTGGAGCAGGCAAAGTGACTTTTTCCGCAAGCGCGTGTGCAGTACAGATACAATTTCCTTTAAAGAAAAAAGCCCTGGATGAATGCGAGCCCTGCTTTTGCAGACCCTTATGCATGTACTCAACTCACACAGCCCTTTTCGGGGTCTCCTTGTATCAGTGAAGCTTTACACGCGCATTACATATCTGCAGAAGCAGGACCTCATGAGTCATGTGAGAGATTTCAGCCTAAATAAACTCAAAGTATGGTGAGTTGAAAGACACTGCGTGTGTCCACAGCTTGCTTTTCAAGGCTGCCAAGCCATTATTCTAGTCTAATCAGAGTATAGATTCGTGACTGGCATCAGTCCGTAACCGGAGGCTGGCTGCACCTCAGTAATTGCCCTTTATCCTTGTCAGAGAACTTGCGTGGACAATTTTTCTGTTACCAAATCTATTAATATATTTCATCCTGAAAAAGAACATAGTGCAGAAGAAACAACAGGAAAATCTTCAGTATGATATACAAGCAGGAGCCCAATAGTGCAGACATACTCCAGTTAAAGTCAGCTGAAGATCTCACTCATCATTTCTCCTCAAATCATCATAACATGTTGTTCTTGAAAAAAATTGTGCCCATCAGATTTTTGTAAAGTATAACTTACAAGGCCTAAACACATTAAAATAGCTTATTTAGACAAAATTAACATTCTGCAACTACACCGCCTTAAATTATGATGCAAAATAACTTCAGGCATGCAATGATTTACAGAATTATATACTGGATTATGTGCTTACTTAAATTAGAACTGGTGAAGAATGTCTCTCTAAGCTCCTTTTGCATCAGCAAAACAACTTGCTAACATTTTCTAAACAGTGATGCCAATATTTTTTTACTATAACTGACAATATTTTATATTTTCATAATGCCTCAGCTTGTGCAGTCATACTAATATGGGAGCAGCTCAGCCTTCACTAAACCTCTCCATTGATCCAAGTTAACACTGGAGGGTCCAAAATCCAAAAGCACACAAAGGGAACCCAAGCATTATGTATTTTGAATCAATTCTGCCATTTCCTAGGTTTAACCTCGCAGGATTTGAGCGCAGGGAAGTGGCTGGTCTCCAGAAGATCACTGTGGCTGTGATGACTTAGCTTACATTTTAGCTAGGAGGTCCCTTCCCCCCGGGCATTTTCTAATAGTTGGTGCCACCAGACCTTCCCACATCACTCAGCACCCAAAGTCAAGGTTTATTGAGACAACAGTTCAATTAACATGAAAAGCAACCACTTCCTTAAATGAAAAGAGCTCGTTGTTTTCTTGAACAAAGAAAACTCTTTGAGCACCTCATCAGCAACTGGGCTGCTCTGAGGCAAAATCAGTTCCCTGCACAGAATGCAGAGTGGTTCAGATCTCACTTGCTCCCTGTATGGGGAGGAAACAAATGCTCAAGTGCAAAGGAAATATGCCTCAACGCAGCCTTACTCCTGCACACCCCTCACATAAGGCTGTGCACTTAGGGTCCAAATACTCTGAGGTGTGACATTAGGGGAAATCTAAAGCTCTTAGAAACAAACTAAACTGGATCAGCAGACAATAAAATTCACTTTCTAGTGCCAGGGCACTTGGATAGGTAAGTGAATGGACTACTTGGCCTGAACAGTTAGGACAAAGGAAGATTTATTACTGCTTGTGTGAAAAGGATAGCTTGATTTGGCACATAAACTTCAGAATATAAAAATGCTGAAGCAACTAAAACTGGATGTTAAACTCCAGCAAACCCGCTGTGCCCTGATGGCCACCACATTTGGGTGCTGACGGCTTCTAGGAGGGGCAGAGTTTCCCCATCTCCTCGCTCCACGCAGGGCTTTCTCGGTCTAGAAACTGCAGATCTGAAAGCAAATGCTTTCCAGATGAGATCAAATGCTGTGGCAGGGTAAGAAATCGCCACTCAATGAAATACACCCGGGGTTTTAAGATCTTTAGCCAGCAAGCTGACCTGTATCAGGGAGCAGTCAGAGTTGAACTGAGTATCATATACATCAAACATATCTGCAAAGTCTCCTCCAGACTCACTGAATCAACCAGCAGACTATGACAAGAGCTTGTGGGGGCTGCCCCGGGCTCCAGCAGGCAGTCAGGAGCCCCTCCAATCTGCTGCAGGTTAACAGATGACACATCCACGTAACGGTGAAGGTTATTGAGAAACCACCTGCAGCGTTAAATCCCCTTTGCTGGGAAAGAACGAGGTGCTGAGGTGGCAACATCTCCAAAAGCCAAGCTGGCTTGATACAAGGTGTGATTTCTGCTTCAAGCCCTTGCTTCAAGGAAAGGGTTGCAGATGGGCAGAGACAACGTAGAGGAGCCTGGAGCTGCAGTGGCACCTCCTGGACCTCTGTGGCCTGCTGGCACTGTCCTGCTTCTTGGCTAGACCAACTCTACTGCTTTTGATTATCTCGGGCACACAAAGCCAACACTCCTCCAGTTCTAGCAAAGGTGACCCCTGCAATGCCTTTGTGGTTTGCAATCCCCATTGTCCAGAGAGCAAATTTTAATAAACCTGTGCTAGGAGGACTTATCAACGCTCTTGGCATTGTTTCAAACCCTGGGCTACATGCTTTGTTAATGAAATGTATATATATGATGGGCCCCAACAACTGTGCCTGCAATCAATGTAATTAATTTACCACAAATCTGCAGATGACCCAGAGAGCATTCAGAATTAAACTACATTTCTAGTGGCTAGATAGATGTCAGAGAGGCTCTGCTGTATATAGCTGCAGCTTTTAAGAGTTATAAGTTGAAGACTTGGAAGTCATGATAAATGAAAGCCTCGTTTGTTGCTTTTAATAAGCTGCTCTAATGGGATGTTCTTCAGAGGCTTGCAATTAGAGACTGAAATACTTGAGGGTGCCTGGGAAGATTTTTCTAATCCTTCATGCAGCCTTGAGCGATGGCAATGATTGCTTCCTGCATCTCCAGGTTAGGAGGCCAGCACTACACCTAACACCTTGTGAGTCAAGGAGCTTTCGTCACTGACTGCTGCACTGCATTTCCCCTGCTCAGACAAAGCCTACACCAGCCACTTAGCTGTTCGTTATGGTCCTCCTGCCCCGTTCCCTTGGCTGTTGCCAGAAAAACTCAGAAATGATGCTTTCGAGGGCAATGCCTCATGGGCTCAGAGCTTAATTACAGATTTGGTCAACTCTCACCTTCTGTCTGGGCCAAAGTCATCTGAAGGCAGATTAGCTTAGGTCCCTAAACCCTCCTTGCAACTGCAGCAGCTCAGACTGGCTTGCAAAGCCCAGTGTGTTTGCACAGAAGTACTAAGCCAAAAAATGTTTAGAATGAAAAAGAAAAAAGGTGTTGGAGCAAACAAATTTGCCAAGCTGATCTAGGCAGGATGCTAGAGATGGGGACTACAGGCAGCAGATTTCCATGCCAGCCCTGGGAGGGCATTGCCCTGTGCAGAAGGGTGCACTGGAGCACCTTTTTTTTTCAGAGAGGGATCCTGTATACCAATGCCGCTAACGCTCCTCTCTGGGAAATCGTACCGCCAAAGAGCAAAGAGGCTGTTTACATGACGGAAGTAGTAAAAACCTTGACCCGAACAAGAAGCAGGACCAGACCCTAGCTGCTCTTGGTGGATAGGAATTTTGACTTGGCAGAGCAATAGCTTCTCCAACAATATTCTTCCTCTTGTCAGGTGAATGGCAGGGAACATTTGGCAGTAGGCAGCATCATAAAGTGGCTATAAATCACAGGAGACAATGTCCTGTAGGAAGAAGGAAGAGCAAACAAGAATGTAGAGATAAAAATCCTTTAAAAAGTAACAACTAACAAAAATTGTGACTCATGCTGGAAAAATTCTCGCTATGAAAAATGTTATCTACAAACCGTCTCCCATTTCCCACGGAAATATTGAAAAAGCACACTATTTTAAGCCTTGACACATCTTGGAAAATAGGATGGGGGGGAGGTTGTGGAAAAATTAATTGACCTTCCATATCACGGAAGGTTGCAAACGCTGGCTCAGGACCTAGGATACACACCACAATCCTTTCACCCTCTCTACTCTCCGAAAGTCACTTTTTAACAAGATGCACATATTTGTGTTCAGAAAGTAGCCCTCTGCCACTGCAGGGGCTGATATTTAAAAGTCTAAATCAGCTAAGGTCAAGGATGGATACTCTGGTGCAGAAGCCTCTAATTGCCAATGCCCAGGTGGCAAGATTTGTCTTTGCTTTGTCTTTCGAAGGCTAGTTCCTTGCCAGAAACAGACTTACTTTCTGTATATGCACAACACAGGGTGAGGGGCAGTTTTTTGTTGCTTCAAATCTATTTTTTTTTTTAAAAGTTCTATAAAAAGCTCCCTCTGATTCTTTGGACCATCACTTGAGATGGAAAGGTCATCCATAATGGGTAGCTGGCTATAAATGCAGATGCACAGTACACTTCTTAGTTATTTTGAGCGGCTTTTGCAAACATGCACAGCATTGACCTAATAGCATCCCCATTTTACTCTGTAAAAGCCCATGCCTTTGTTTAGTGCTACAAAGCTCAAATGCTTGGGGGACCGGAGGGACAAGCAGTCTCTTAACACTCACCCTAAGACCCCATCAGTTTTGCAAACAGGGCTTGGTTCAAAGGACAAAAGAGGGGTAACTGCTCTGGAGCAGTCAGTCTCCTTCCCAGGCTGATCCAAACCTGGCTTTCTACCTAGGTTTGTAGGAAGAAAGGGGCTGATGCCACGACAACCGCAGCACCTTATTGCTCCTTGCGAGACAGAGCACAAAGATCTTTGTGACTGGCATTGTCCGACATAGACTGTAAACCAAAAGTCTGTAATGACTTTAGATTAATACATATACTTCAATCAGGAACAATGATGCCAAATGGCATCTAATTCAAGCATTCCTAGGAAAGCAAAATTTATAGCCTTGCTCTATCTGTAAAATGCATTGCGCTTTCAAGAAGAACACATAATCCTAACAAAACAAAGATAACAACAACTAGATGTTCTTTAATTCAATGCTTGTAGCTGGTTTAATAATAGATTTTCAATCCATTTCCCTTTTTTTGCTGAGACAACTACAGTCTGATTTAGTGAATCTCTTTGATTTGTAATCCTGATCGTTATATTATTAATATGCCCTTGATACAAAGAGCGGGATAACTTAAAAAAGTGATCAGCTATTTTACTTGGCATTTATGACCTTGATCGGAGGACGCATTATTTACAAGAAGAGTTTTCTGGAGCATCTGCAAGTAAATCAGCTCTGAAACGCAGCTTAATTGTTTAGGGCAAAGCACATTTAGTTTCAAATTCCCAGGAACCTCCAGCTTCAGACACAAAGTGTGTTTCCACAGATGGACACTGGCATGTGGAAATGCCACCGTGACTACCGTTCAGCTGACCTTTGGTTTAGGGCCAGCTGCCAATGGGAAATGCCAAGCTGTTACATTCGTTCAAAAGAAGTGAGAAAACTGCAGAGATACTTGAAAGCAAAAAAAAGGGGGAAGAGGTGTGGAAGCTTCTGCCTCCAGGGACCTAGCAGAAAATAAAAAGCCTGCAGAGCCCAGAACACTCCTGAGTCCTATGTCTGGGAAACTACTTTCCCAGCTGCCGAAAGCAGGAGGACATCCCCTCCCCACTGCAGGACCGCTCTCAAGCCCCTGCTCGCTTCAGCCCGGCACTTGGGAGGATAGGCGCAAAGAGATGCCATACAGCACCCTAGGGAGGAATATCCTAATTCTGAGGTGCCCAGGGCCTCCCAGAAAGCCTGGGAGCAGCATGGAGCCAGCAACAAGGAGCCTGTTTGCAGGAGCTGGCCAGGCTACGTCCTCAGTGCTGCAGGGCAAGAGAGTTTTTCTCCTTAGCTTTGCTGCTGGGCAGTACCTGTTCTCCTACATTAGCAGAAAAGACAGAGCCTGGACTTTGCACAGCTTGCTCGGTGTGGAAAGCAATGGTGATTCCAGCTGGAGCAACTCCTGGAGTTCAAAATGTCTGTTTTTCTAAAAGCAAGTAGAGGAAAGAATTAGGAAAGGAAATTTAACCCCCTGGAACCATGCACTGGAACAACATAACCACTCCAAAGATAGGAAAGCATCTTCCAGAAACAGGTTAACAGCTTCAGAAAGGGATTATCCCATGACCTGGAATGCGTTTATCGTACCCGCCGTGCCACAGCAGGAGAGTCACTCCACGAATTGTCTTGAAATCATATCCAAGGCAAAGCAGCGTGACACATTTCGGCAGCATCTCTGCTTCTTCCGAACAGGAGCAATTTTTTTGTTTTGCTTTGTTTAATTTCAAATTGGCTGTCAGCTTTCTGGGCTTCTGGGGTTTATTCTTCTGTTCTCATGAGTCATTCAACACACTAGATGGGCTTTAAAATTCATGGGAACTCAAAGCAGCCGAGAAGCTCTGTGGTTGTGAAGCCAGTTCTCTAATGACGGACCAAACCTTGGCAATGGAGCCTTCTCCACCACCTCCAGCTCAGGGACTGGGTTTTTCCCAGTTTAGGGGAAGGGTTGAAAAGATAAAAATGGACCAAGAGCTCAGCTCCCTGTACATGCCCCTTCCCATACATCCAGTGTGGCACCATGGAGAAGCTCCTGGGAACCTGCAACTGCCTGGGGTCCATGGAGAGAGATGTGAGTACAAGGTAGGAGTATTAAGGCAGCAGCAGACATGGTGATGAAACTCTAGCCAAAGGAGACAAGGGCTTTTATAAACATGCCGAGAAATAAAGAGCCAAAAGGAAGCACATCCTGGAAAGCCCATTAGGGCAAAGGACAGAAAGACATAACTAACAAGAATTGCTGACAAATGGCTCAGGCTTTGTAACTGCTTGCTCGGACCAGAGAGGGTAGCAGCAAAAAGGAGACCTGCAAGGGCACATCCTTCCCAAAGGGGTCCTGAGCACTTGCCAGCAACTGTGGGAAGAGCAAGAGCTACTGGTTGCCACACAGTTGCGATTCCTTTTAGCCACAGAGGGATATAGGTCCCTCCACCTGAAATTCATTCCCCCAGACTCCTCCTTGCAGAGGTGCCAGGTTACATCCGTAGCTTCCCTATGGCCACGTGTGCACCCTCCTGTTCACATCAATACAACCATGCATCCAGTCTGGGGGAGGCCAAGGTCCACATCCCCTGTTCAAGGTGGGATTTGATTCAAAACCTCCAGCCTTTAAGGAGAGACTTGAACTCCTGCCTACAGTGTTCAGAGCCAAGTCTTTTTGGCTACAGTTTTCCTGTAGCCCCTGGTGTGAATGGCCTGTGGCCATTCACTCCCCCACGCCGCTGCACGCTTCTCGTGCAGACAGGAGCATTTACTTTCCCATTTTTAAGCCCAACAAGTCACTCAAAGGAGACGACAGGAGCTGAAACGGCTGAGCTGGAAGAGACTGTCAGTCTCTGACCTTGTGTGGAGATGAGTCTGGCAGCACACTTACCTTTTAAGACAGGAAATAACTGTGTCCTTCCATGGATGCCTTATGCCTGCAGACAGAGCTGCTCAGCCTGGCTGGATTTCACCACGCTGCATTCACAGTCTGATACCCTACCTCCTCTGGGAAATAAGACCCCCAGCCAATGCGTTCAGTATCACTGCAGTTCCTCTGTGAGCACCTTGTAACTACTCTTAACACTTACAATAATCTGTAATTTACAGCCACCTTGCTAGACCCGAGCTTAAGACAGACCTGTATCATGAAAGCAACAGTGGGCTGATGGGTACACCTTAGAAGCATAAATATTTACTATGCACTGAAAACAAATTCAGCCTTATCAATAGATGCACCTCACATTGGTTTGCATGAAGGATGTTGCATCATTTGACTATTGACATGAAAAAAAAAAGTACTAATACATGTCTAGTATATGAAAAAAGTGCCTTGTGCGCTGGCTGCCACACAAGTTTAGTGCCGCAGTACAAACTGACCCTGATACAAGCCAGATTCCCCCAACACCACAATCCCTTGTTCATCCTTGTTCACCAACAAGTTCCATCAACTTCCATTAGAGTTGTCAAAGATGGTATAGCCCAGGCTTTCATCACTTGCCTATGTTTAAGCACATGAGAAGTCAACGGGATTGCTTGATGGTTTGAAGCTGAGTGTCTCCCTCCTTTGGGGGAGCTCTCTGTATAATTTACTAGTACGTGGGCAACACATTAGTGTCCCACACATGAAAAACGAAATCCAGACCTGACCAAAACTTGGGGCGTTTGGCCATTCGGCGGGTTTCTTATCTTTTTCTTTGCAAGTGTTTTCCTGAATTCAAGTCTTCTCTGTGAGCAAAGCCCACTGCAAGCTCTGAGTGCAAATATATGGGCTTCAGGTTATTTTACCTGTAAAAACATGTTCTGCTTATTTTTAAAGGAATGTGTAAACACTCCTGTGAAAATCAAGCCAAATAATCAGGGCCAGTCTATATAGAGATGAAAATCATTGGGAAGTGAACTACATCTGTGAGCGAGCCTTTGCCATTCCTGCCTGTCCAAACAGATCAATCAGCCCACCCTCGTGCTGTTTTACAGCGCTACTGCTCAACAGCTTCGCTCACATGCTGCTTTCGCCTAAATCGTGCTAATCAGCTGGTCAGATAAAAGTTACTGTAAAAGTTGGAGAAGTAGAAATACACAGCTTCTTCTCTTACCTTCCGCTGAGAAGGAAACCGATAACAACAGCCAGCAGAATGACTCCCACTGTTACAGACACAACAATTATAGGAATCTGGCTCTGGTCGCTGGATGCAGCTACTGCTGAGATGAGAAACAGAAAATGGAGATTAAGGTTAAAATGATAGTCAGCACTCACATGAGTTTTTCCAGTGAGGCTGCCAGTGAGGTTTCAAGTCTTACCAGTTCATTTCTTCTTTTACAGTTTGTGTTTTACCCCTTTGCTGTCTGTTTCTACTTTGGAAAGGAAATGGCTGGAAAGAACCAAAACCACAAGCGAAACCAAGCCAAAAACCCAACAAAATCACATCTCATCACTGAACTCAGAAACCAAAGTGTTGCAGAATACAGTCTTTGAGTTTGCAAAGTCAAGTTTCTCTTCCTGGGTTAGCTGCATTAAAATCACAGAGATAAAAGATGAAAACCCAATAGGTTCCCATTGGCAGAGAGAACATTTATGGAATGTTATTGTTAAGACACATAAGCAAGATCCCCAAGATAAACACCATTCAAGGAGCTATAAACAATTAAAAACGAACTCCTTGCGGCATCTATATCACATGGCCAGAAGGTGCCCTCTGTAAAACAGGAATTTGCTAAGACACACACACTGGTTGGTCTTTTTATCAGCCAAGGGAAGCAGAGCTCTCCCAGCCCATGCCTTCTAAAGAGCTCTCCTGCCAAAAGGCAGGAGACGAGTCCTGGGATAAAGTTGCCACCACTAAGGTCCGGAACGCTGTTTGAGAACTGGGTTTTGCCACAGGTTAAGTAAGAGCAGGTGAGCAAGCTCCTGCAGCCTATAAAATGGAAATGCTAACACCACTTGTACCTTGTTTATCTGCTTTGCGCTGCAGGGGAAGGAGCCTATCTCTCCCCAGGGGTTTGCAGTGGGGTTCCCCAAGCAGGAACCAAAGCTTCCTCACCCTGCCCTCTCCACTGCCAGCTTATTTGACTGCATATATTTAACTGTCCCAGGGTACAAATCTGGCTTCTTCCCTGCAAAACCAGCTCCTTGGCGTAGGTGCTGCTGCTGTGCGGGGAAAACCTCATTATAGCTCCTACCCTCGTGCCAGCCCCGGATGAAGCTTC